GCATGTCACAATGAGTTATAAACCATTTATATTTAAAGATTTCAGTGCTTTTAATCTCCTTACTAACTCTTTGTGAATTAATCAATTTATTGTTAATATAACATGTATTATTTCTCTATTATTTCTTAATTTCTTTTGTAAATTATATTTATGAGGATTACTAAAATCAATTGAATCAAATTCATTAAAATATGTAATTAATATGTTTATATATTTTTAATATTTATGTTTTGATATTATTTAAATGGGGTACGAAAATAAGCAAAGAAATAATGCATCTAAATAATTTACAAAAAAGAAAAAAGATGCAAAAAAATTTGCATCCATAGAATATTCCACTTTATTATATTTTGCTCCTAAAAAAAGTATGATAAATACAGAATATGTAAATATTTATGTTTATATTTTATAATCATTTCTATTCATTTTGTATGAAATATTAATGAAATAGATTATTTGATGAATCATATTTATTTTTATTCTTTTTATTCTTTTATTATTATGTTATTTATCTATCGTATTTTTATATTTATTTCTCTGTTTATATTATTTATCTATCATTGTATTATTCTTATTATCTATATATTATTATATTATTATATTATTCTTATTTTATGTTTTTATGTTTATATTATTTAGATTTTCTTATTGTTATTCTTTTATATTTAAATGTATTTTATTATTTGTTTATTCATCTTTATCATTTTTATATTATTATCATTTATATCTATTTTCATTTTATATTTATTCTCTTTTGATTTATATTAATTTTATCTTTTATACTTTGATTTTATTATTATATCATTGACTATCATTTCTATATTTATTTATCATTTATTCTTTTATTTTATATTCTATATCATATATTCATATCATTTTCATTTATATTTTATTACTTATTATATGTTATAATAACATAACACATATGATTGATTATATAATAAACATCATGATGAAGTTATACATATAAATAATAACATAAAAAAGAGTAAAATATTTTTCAATAATAAAATATTGTTAATCATTTTACATAATTATATTAGACACTTATTATTTCATATTTCTAATTTTTACATTAAAAATACACCATTTTCATTCTTTTCTTCTTTTATCATCTCTTTGTGATTTATTATTTTTATATTCTTCTTCTACTTTATTTTTATTCTTTTATATATTTTTATTCTTTTTATATTATTTGT